GAGGAGAGGTAGGCACAGGCCACCATCCTGTGTGTATCCAGTGGAAGGAACCCACTCAGCACTGATAGTTCACATAGAATCACTTACAGTATACATGCAGGTATATAGATGTTGTTGATACAATTCCTTTATGCCTATTTAAGGATCGTAGCGTGTAGAATCCTGTGTCCTTCTGGGTGACATTTTGGAGGTGCAGAGATCCATTTCTGTACACAATCTCTCTACCACTATGTCCAGGCCCTGTGATTTTTAAATTAGTGGTCAGTGAATAAAGTACAATTCCGAGGTCCATCTTTGTCGCCCCTTTGTGCCAGACAAAGGCTACAAGATCTTCCGGGAGATTGCGGACACGAAGAAGGACATCTTCTCCTTCAACAACATGGGGTGGCACTAAATCAACAATGACTTGGACAGTGGTGGGCAGGTGCCAACAGGTTAAAAGGTAGGCTAAAAGGGAAGAGAGAAAAACAATCAATATTGAACAGCTGACATCATAACTCAGCCTAGGTGTGTGAGCAGGGGTTTCTGTACCCTCCTGGACACATGAGCAGCTTGACCTCCATGACCTCAGAACCTCTGATTGAAATTCATCTTTAAGGAATTCTCTGATCAGGTGTATGGCTGGCTTTCCATTTACCATTGCCCTGAATTGGTGTGAGGAAGCCTCTCTGACTTCTTCCTCTATAGAATCCTCACTTTTTAATTTTTATTTCTGTATACCTTAGGGTATCATTCAAACCCTGAAATCATTTTCTATATATGCTGATGTCAGATTCAACAGAATCAGGGATTTTTGAGGACAGAGATTACTCTGATCTTTTTGGAGGTTCTGTTCTAGGAAAAGACTTAGATAACAGTTGATAATGGAAAGATGGAAGTAAACAAGGAAGGAAGGATGGAAGGAAGGACAGAATGTAGGCAGGAAGAAAATAGAAAAAATGGGGGAAGGAAGGAGAGATGGATGAAGAAAGGAATGGAGTAAGGGGGAAGGGAGAAAAAGAAAGCAGGAGAGAAAATTGCTTCTACATGGGTTTGTCTACATAGCTCCAGGTTTATAGGCAACAAAAAAATTATACTCAAGTATGATTTAAATGGTTTTACATTTCTTTATATATTGTATGTGTGCACTTGTGAAAGCATACTTTTCAGTGTGTGTATGAGCACCATTCATTCTCTGAAATATTTTAAGGCAAAAAAGGCCAGAAGGAGTTTGTTTTCTCCATCTACCATGTATGATCTGAAGACTGAATTCAGATTCTCATGTCTCCACAGATTAACTTGTCTTAGTTACCCACCCCTGTTTAATTTCTATTTGGAGAGTCACCCTGTCATGATAGGGAACACCAGGCTTCAGAAATGGCAGCCAATGTGTTTCACTTTGAACAGGGAGTAGATGAGGCTTTTATCATTTATAACCTCCTGTCTACAGACAGCTACAAGTAGCTGAGCTTCTCGCCATCTCTGTATTTTTGTCCTATGACTAAAGAAATCTTGACTCTTCTCTCAGAATTCCATTCTCTTTATAGACCACAGAAATTCACTAATTTCCCAGAGAGCTAGTTTCTTACCTGTGATCAGGAGCCCCTGCCAAGGGGTACACCACCTACAGGGAAGCACAGAGAACATCTCCATCTCTCTTCTCATGGTGCTTCTCTCTCTCTGAGGAGAAGAGCTTCACTTCCAACCAAATTCCAGCCTCTGGTCTCCTTCCTCCCTCTGATCTCAGCTTCCTCTCAGGCAGTAGAACTTCACAGAATCAAGTGAGCTTCAGGTGGTGAGAACTGAGTCTAAGTCACTGCTCTGTTCCTTCCATTCTCAGTGCTTCCCCACATCCCTCTCAACTGTTCTCTCTTTATGTTTCACCTCCAAGAAACACATTAGCAACAATACTGATAAACATCCCCATGCCCTCAGAGAACAATAGCTCATCCCAGGTCTGAAATCTGCTTGTCATGGCCTTGGGTCTGTGTGAACCAAAGAGGGAGCCTCTATCTAGCCTGTGTGTCTTTTTGACAGAGAAGCCCTGTTAAGTACCCAATGTGCACTGTTCTCGGTGCTCTGGGAAGGTGGGATTTACTCCCAGAAGGAAGGTGACAGAGATGTCTCTGAGGGAAGGAAAGGGACCAGCTGAGTGATGACAAGGGATTAAGAGCAAGCCTTTATCAATAATTTCACCAATCAAATTCTTGATCTAGAACAGAGCCCCAGGGGAAGTTTATGAGGAGTTTCATGCCCTCAGTGTTGGGGAAGATGTGACTTGTGTGTCATTGAAAGGACTGTAAGCTTCCTCTTTCTATAAAGAACTTCAAGCCAACTTTCAGCATTATGTGTTTACTGAGCTGTATATTAGGTAAGTCAATGTCCTCTCCAATTTTCCTGAGCCTCCTATGGCCTTTGTCTAGGTAATTCTCCAGTGGTAATCCTGTCTTCCCTTAGAGAGATGCCAGGAGGGATGGGGTTTTAAGGTTGCCCTGCAGAAAGGTGATTTCATATACAAGAAGCATCCAGTAGGTGAGAGTAGGGTCTTGGGAGAGAGCCTTAGGTTAGTAAGGACAGAGATGAAACCCAGTCTGCTAGGCAAGGTTATAGCTCAGAGGAACATTTTCTAAGTGTTGAGCATGTGTCTTGATACCTCTCCCTGAATATCTATGGGAGAACTGAAATTTCATGTGTGGGGCTACAGCATGAATTGTCAACAATTCAAATGTGAAGTGACCTGATACCTTCAGCACAAGTGGATGGAGAGCCTGTCATCCTGTTCACTGTGTTCTTCAGGACTTGTATTCCATGAAGGGTTTGTCTATAAAGGGCCTCAGATTTTTCCTGCAAAGCCCTGTACAAAAATTGAAACTCTCTGTATCCAGAGAATGGGCACTCTCTGGAGGAGCTTTATGCTCAGACAATTTCTCTTAAGATCAGCCTTGGACTACAAACTGTTCAGGGCAATTTCAGGTTGGCTAGTTAAGATGGTCCAGGTTCACAGACTGCTTATTTTAGAACTTAGGTAAGCCTTGTACTTTCCAATTATACAAAGACTGGGCAACAATTGATACAGCTAGCTCTTCCAGATCTTGATAATTATCCCAATTTTTTCATTGTTCCCTAAAGATTCCATAATCCCTAAACAACAGGAAGTAATTTTAATAGCAAGATACCCATGTTCCCAAGAGGTGGGGTGGACAATTTTTGGTCATTCAATGGGTTATAAATATTTGTCATCGTTTATGGAGGTTGGTTCCATCTTATTATCAGTAATCATTGGGAAAAATAACTGAACAAAGGTGATAGATTCAAGGATATTGCTCTGAAAAGAAAAAAAAGGGGATATAGAAATCATAGACTAAAGGGGTAGATATTAAATTGATTCTGAGAAAGGGGGATATACACATGAAAGGATAAAAGGGTAGATTTTTGAATCTACTTTTTCACAAAAAATAACAACTACTAGTCTTAAATATTTTTCACTGGTAAAGATTGCTTTTATTTTAATACAAAATTGAGGTTATTTTTGTCATACTCAATGCATGCTTTTTTCTCTTCTTTAAGATATTGTTGTATATTGATTAAAATATGAGGCTATTTTTTAGAACATAGAGAAAATGCCTTTCTACTCTTGTTAAAGTTATTGTACCTATACAGCTCATTTAACAATGTCATGAAAATTTCTAGTATTTAAATACTATTATTACAAACTATGATAATAAAGAAATGCAGGCAAGTAGTTAGTCACCTATTATAGGCAAACTTATAGTCACATTAGGTATGCTTTCACAGTCAAACAGATATATTTTATATAGATTGGTGATCTTTGGACACTTCAGAAATCTACACAATATGGCATTTAAGATGTTTTAATAACACATGGTTCTTTTTTAAGACAATGAGACATGTGTGCTTCTGGTAACACCAATCTACTTCAGAGAAGATGATGGACAACAGATAAACTTCATGTGGAGTTTTCTTTTGGGGGTCAAAAGTTAACCAGTGTGAGAAAATTACCTTTGCCTTTACTGCCGACAGTTTGTTTTCCAAAATTGGACAAGCAGGACACAAAGAAAGTGACTGTCAAACTTTGCCAATGCAAAATAGGAATTCCTTCAGAATATCCTGCTTCACAGAAAAGGCTGTCAAATATTTTAGACCTGTAGGCAAAAGATGGATGCCCCAATGTTACACAAGGACCTTGAGTGACTTCCAAGAAGCCAGCTGTTTCTGTCACTTTTCACATTTTTGAAAGTTGCTTGCTTTTATTTCCTTTTACTCAGTTAATATTATTTCCTTATCAGGTCTCTGATGGAGTTGAAGACTAGATAGTTGCATTTTTTTTCTCGCTAACAATTTCAGAAAAGAAATTCACACAAGACGTACAAAATGCGCAAGAGACTGAGAAATATAGAAATTAGTTTTGGGTTTATAATACAAACTAGGATAAAAAGATAATTAGTATAATACATTGAACTCACCAATATAGGATAGACAATGGAGTATTTTCTCTGAATTTGTCAAATGAATTCTTAATGTAATTATTGCATGTGTATATTTGTATATGGTTATTTTACTTATTGTATATAGTTTTTCTGCTATTTAAACCTTTCCCTTATTTAGAAAAAAAAGGGAGAAGTGTGTAACATGTTGTTTTTTCTGACAAATAAAGCAACTGAGGAGAGCAGATGCAGAGACAGACAGCCAAACACTTGGTATCTGCACAGAGGAGGGGAGGATGGATTTTAGGGGTGAGAGGGTTCAAGGGCATAATAAAAAAATATGGAACACAGAATCAATATCAGGGATTATAGAGAATCACAGAGTCTAAAGTGACAAACACAGACCCTATATGGGTCTAAGCTCAGTTCTCTGCATATAAGTTATGGTAATGTATCTGGGTATTATTGTGAAACTCCTAACAGTGGGATTGGGAAAGATCTCTGATCATTTTACCTTTGTCTTCCTACTGGATTGCTTCATCCAGAACTGATATGAGGGATTGTGGCAAGTCTACTATAACTTGTCATGCCATGTATGGTTGACATCCCTGGGGTCTGCTCACTTATTAAAGGAAAAGTGAAGAGTGGATCTGAGGGAGAGGGGATGTGGGGGTTACTAAGGACTGGAGGGAGGGAAAATTGTGGTCTGGATGAATATCTGAGAGGAGAATATAAGTGGAAGAAATACATATTAAAACAACCATGCGCAAGGTCCCTCTGTGAATGCCACTCTCAGAATGAAAATCTGCCCTTATGTTAAGGACTTTATATTCGTACATCAAACAAACTGTAGATCAAATCTACTTAGAAACCAGGTATATCCATAATGAAGCATGGACAGAGTCTTCTCCTGTCACTCTTCCTCACTTCACATGGATGAGTGATATGCTGGTAGCATTCGACTTAATTAAATTAGTGAATCAGTTAAACACTGAATGTATTTTACCATATAAGAATATGATT